ACTGAGCTTGCCTTTTCTGGCCGTCGTGAGTAGCCCTTAATTATTATTATTATTATTATTATTATTATTATTATTATTATTATTATTATTATTATTTTGTCGTCAGTCGGTGAGGATTCATTGTGAGTAGCCCTTAATTTTTTTATTATTTTGTCGTCAGTCGTTGAGGATTCATTTCTTCAGTGGATTTCGACTTGCCGGGCTTGTCACGTCGTGTAGTGAGTGGTTCCCTTATTCAATCCCTCTCTCTGAAATGTGTTCAATCGCTCATTCTCATTTCCTCCATCTTTATTATTTTTTTTTTTTTGGGGGGGGGGTTGGTATTGCGTCGTCTTTTTCATTTCCTCTGCTGCTCAGGCGTCGGCGTCCTTCTCAGTTATGTACATTAACAGTTTTTTTTTCCGATTAAGAAAAAGCGATTTTTTTGAAAAACCGATTTTGTTTTTGCTTTGGCTTTTGGTTCCTGCAGTGGCCGCGAAAAACGATGTCATGGCTACCACGGAAAGTAATCACATTGTTTTTTTTTTTTTGGATTAAAAAACAAAAAGTGCAAAGTAAGTTGAATTCTTTATTTAAAAACAAAAAAGTCCCAAAGCAAAATAATTTTTATTTATTGAAAAACAAAAAAATTGTAAAAAAAAAGTCGACAATAACGTCCTGCAATCACCCTGCATCCCCTGAATTGGTTCCAGCAGTCTTACACTCACCCAATTAGGAAAACAATGTTTGCTTAAAATAAAAACCATCGGAAAAGGTTTGCTTAATGTGAAACAAATTGATTAAAGGGATATGTTCCCTTTCCGCAACTTAACTTTTCTTCTTCTTCTTCTTCTTCTTCTTCCTTCTTCTTCAACGCTGCACAGTTTAGGCATAGGTAGTCGTTCTGTATTAATTCGACGGCAAGGCCGTCGGCCCTCATTGCTCAGTGGCTGGACGACAAGTAGGTGGGTGCCGTAAGGCGGATCCGACGAGAAGGCCCCTGATGAGTGCCAGCCAGGTGCGCTTCCTGGCTGAAACGTGCGTATAGGGCAACTGAGCGCGTTTCTTCTGAGCACCGTGCGTGCGGTGAAGCATGGAACTTTCTGTTTAAGCATGCACGAAGGACAGTCTATGGCCTCTGTTTATCACTATACTTCTTCTTCTTCTTCTTCCCCTTCTTCTTCTTCTTCTTCTTMTTCTTCTTCTTCTTCTTCTTCCTTCTTCTTTTTCTTCTTCTTCCTTCTTCTTCTTCTTCTTCTTCTTCTTCTTCTTCTTCTTCCTTCTCCTTCTTTTTTCCCACAGGACAGCCCACCATTCTTCGTTCTTCTTCTTCTTCTTCTTCTTCTTCTTCTTCTTCCTCTTCTTCTTCTTCTTCTTCTTCTTCTTCCTCTTCTTCTTCTTCTTCTTCTTCTTTCCCACAGGACAGCCCACCATTCTTCCTTCTTCTTCCTTCTTCTTCCTTCTTCTCCTTCTTCTTCTTCTTTCCCACAGGACAGCCCACCACGACAACCCAATTTCTCAGTTGCTTGGTCGGCAAGTCTGGTGGTGGTCCCGCAAGGCGGATCTGAGGAGAAGCCCCCTGTCAGTGAGGGGTGAGTGCCAGGAGCGCAGCAGCCTGATTAGCCGAAACGAGTAGGTTAAATTGCGCGTTTTTTTTTTCTGGGAGTTGTACATGCGGAGAAGAAATGCAAAATTAATATGTTGACGCTTGTACGAGAAGCAGTCTATGGATGGCCACTGTTTTCACTATTTCCCACAGGAGGCCCGATTCCCGGCTTGTATAAGAAAGAAAACAAACAGAGGCGAGTTGGAACCCGCCGGGGGAGGAGGGGGGGGGAGGAAATGAGGAGGAAAAGAAGGGGAAAAAGAAGTGACCCCTTTTTTTGATGACGAACAAGGAAAAGAAATCTGCAAGTGATGTAAAGCTGCCCTTCGTTCCATCTTTTCTTTTCTGAAAGTTTCTTGTCATTTCTCTCTCCCTTTCAAACAAATGAGGAGAGAGAGGAAGACAGTGCGAGGGAGCGGGAGAGGGAGAGCTGGAAGGGGGGGCGTGGGAGGAAGGGGGGAGGAAGGGGGCGGAGAATGTCTATTTCAATGTGAGAAAAACGAAAAGAGATCTACACGCATGTAAGAGCTGTGCACTCCACCTTGTTTTTCTGGATTGCTTTCTTTGTTTTCTTTCCTAAAAGGGCAACGGCCTCGAGACATCATCCTTGAACCGACCTGCACCGGGTAATTCAGTTCTTTCCTAAAAAAGGTATATTCTGTTCTGGCCATCTGATTGCATCTGGCTGGATTTGAACTTGGGTCTGTTTCTTTCTTCAACAGTTAGTTGGCTGTACCAACTGCGCTATAGGCCCGTTGGTGCATTTCTAGGATCTCTTTCCTTTTCGCACACCTTGAGAAAACAGCCGCTTCTTTTCTTCTTCTTCTTCTTCTTCTTTTTTTTTTTTTTTTTTTTCTTCTTTCGCGAACGTGACACSCACAAAGGTCTTGCGACAGAAAAAAAAAAAAAGGGAAAAAAAAAGGCTCCCACCGACCTTATGTATAGCACAAGACCGAATGACCATTGCCACTCCTCCTCCCCCTCCTCCTCTCTGTGTCTCTTGTTCTCTCTTGCTTTCACTCACCTCCTCTCTCTCTCTCTCTCTCTGCCTGTTGTTCTCTCTTGCTTTCACTCACCGGTTTGCTCACGCAAGAGCTAATCAGTAATCGAGGGCTTATCCTGCCTCCATCCACCTTCCTGCCTCCATCCACCTTTCTTGCCCTATGTCTTCGAGGGCTTATCCTGCCTCCATCCACCTTGCTTGCCCTATCTCACAGCGCCCCCTTTTTTCTTTCCTTTTCTTTTTCTTTCTTTTTGTTTTGGGGGGGGCGGGGGGGGGGGGGGGGGGGGAAAGGAGGGAGAAAAGGGGGCGGGGGGCGAGAAAGGGAATGAATGTGAGAAGAAGGGACAGTCAGAAAATTGTCTCTTCAGCTACTGGTCGGGCAATTTAACCTCCTCCCCGTGACCACGTCCTCCTTCGTAATATCCCTAAAAAAGGGGATTGGAACGATACAAGGCCTCGCTCCGCTGCCGTAGTCTCCAAATGCGCAAAATGAGAGTGAATCTTCCTCTAGAACATGGAAAGATACATGGCCATGATTTTTTTTTCGTCGTTTGCGCATGTCGTGCGTGAGTAGTGGAGCGAGGCCCACAGAGAAGAGATGATTAGCATGACCCATGCGCAAGGATGATGACCCGCGTAAATCGAGAAATGGTCCAGATTTTCACCTCCTCGAGGCCTCTGCCGCAGTGATTGAACCCCTCTGGCCGCCAAGGGGGAAACAACCTGATTGCCCGAATACCAGCTCATGCTGAGGGAAGGGAGGAAAAAAAAAACAAAAAAAAAAACATTGGGGATGAATTTTTTATTTTTTGTAATCATTACCATTGTTGTATAACTTGGTCAAATCATGAAGTTACTCCACTACTATGGTGTCTGATGAATAATCTGCAGCGATTGCGTTCCGGAGGGGGAGGGGGAGGGGGGGGGGGGGGGGGGGGGGGGGGGGGGGGAGAGAAGAGAAGGAAAAAAAGAAGGGAAAAAAGAAGGAAAAAAAAAGAAGGGAAAAAAAAGAAGGAATTAAAAGCTTATTCCTTATTCAAGTAACATACTAAAATTAGAATTTAGAGAGAAAAAAAAATAGAGCGAGAGAGATGAGGATAAAGTGCAAAACAATCGAGTTTTAAAGGAGGATGCATATACGGCAATGAAAAACTTATTTCGTACTCGAATAAAAATCTTCAAATTCGAAAAAAAATCTTAAATTTACAAAAAAAAAAATAAAAAAAATCTTAAAACTAAAAAGATCTTAACACCAAAAAAAAAAAAAAAAAAAAAATCAGAGTCGTCCTAACGCTGTGGCCCACACACACAAGCCCACTACAGCTCCAAACCTGTGGTTCATATGCTATAGGGCCAATGGACAATAATAATTATCCTCTTTTTTTATTTTTAACCTCTAAACCCTTTCTCAAGCTCGAAAATTAAAAAAAAAAGATCGATTTGCCTAAATCCTTCTCTTTACTAATCCCAATAATCTGTTCAATGGCTTAGCGACCTCCATTTACTTATTTAAGATTTTAAATAAAACCTCTGCAGAAAAATTCAACAAAAGAGGAGGGAAAAAAAAAAAAAAAAAGACAACCGTTTCCCCCTTTCGCTGCGTGTCCATCAGACACCCTTCGAACAGCAGAACGCCATCTACATGTACTTATAATTACATTAATAAAATACCATATACAAATTGAAAAAAAAAAAACATAAAATAAAATATACATTAAAAATATACTTTTACAGCCATGACAAGATGCAAAATGAGAAATGCTACGATAATAATGACCGGCTCAGAGGGGGGGGGGGAGAGAGGAGGGAAGGAGGGAGGATCTAGTCAAATGTCACCATCCAAAGACGATACCACAAGCATTCCTTCATCCTTTTTCCCCTTTTATTTTCTTCCCTTCTTCCTATTTACCCCTTCTCCTCTATTTAAAAAAGTGAGGGGGATCGTTCTATAGACCATGGTCAGTACTTGTTCCGTGTACGGACCTCCTCCTTGCACGCACGGAACCGAACCGGCGCCCTCAACCTCAAGAGCAGAGTGAATGACAAGGGGGGGGAGGAAACTTACACATGGGCTGTCCTCCTCGTACACGAAAGCTCATTAACAAGAATTGATGACCCAGACGACCTCTTCCAATGAATAGGTAGAGCCTCCTTCACCCCTTCCCCGGCCATTCCCCTCCTCCTCCTCCTCCCCCCCCCTTCCCCCCCGGCTCCGCCGACGACGGGAAGGGGGGCAAAGAAGGAGGGAGCGGGAGGGGGGCCGGGGGGCGGGGGGGGGAGGGGAGGGGGGGGGAGAAGGGTGGAACGAAGATGGAAAAAAAGGGATGAAAAGAAGAGAAAAAAAAAACAAGAAAAGGAATCTCACCCAGCTTGTAATGGATTTGATCATAACCCCTCGAGCGGCGCCTGTGAGGTGTGGACGCTTCATTGGAATCTTTTTGTCTTTTTTTTCTCTGTCGAAGTCATGTTGTTAATCATTAATCACACAAATAATTAATTATTAACAACATACCCCTCCTGATAGGGGCCACCTTCCGCCAGGCAATTAATTTAATTAATTAATTAGTTTATTAATTGCTAATTTACTACTAAATTTCTACTATATACGGTAGCCGCTCAACCCATCCACCTCTCCCCAGCCCTACCCTCTCCCCCCCTCTTACCCCCCCCCCCCCCCTCCCCCCTCCCCTCCACCACAACCACCACCCACATGCCCAACCCTCCCCTCTTTGCTCTCTATGACCTACTTTTGCTGCTACCAAGTTTGTATGGTCATGGCCTCATCTTGATTAATAAATACACACCCTAAGGAAAAAGGTACTCTTCTTCTCTCCTTGCAGAAAGAATTAACTTAAAGGTTTTGAAATTTATTTCCTACAACCCCCATCTCTTCTTCCCCCACTCCCTTCCTCCCATTCCCCCTCCCCCTCACCCCGTTCGCCCTCTCTACGAGAAATAGTCAGCCCTGTCCCATGCCCTTTCCTTGTCCTTCCTTTCCCTCTCCTACCCGTGCACGGGCCCGAGACGAAGCAGAAGGGTACACGTGGCCCCGAGACGAACCAGAATTGCTGCACGTGGGCCCGAGACGAACCAGAAGGGTACACGTGGGCCCGAGACGAACCAGAATTGCTGCACGTGGGCCCGAGACGAACCAGAATTGGTACACGTGGGCCCGAGACGAGCCAGAATTGGTACACGTGGGCCCGAGTCGAACCAGAATGGTACACGTGGCGCGCCGAGGGCATTAACACGTTGACGACAAGGAAACGATCATGCTGACGATTGTTCATGATGATGAAGAGGATGAGGATGAGGATGCTGAGACGTATTTCGAGGATGATGGTGCTGATGACGACGATGATGAAGAGGATGAGGATGAGGATGAAGAGGATGAGGATGAGGACGAGGATGAGGATCACGAGCAATTGATGATGACGTCAACGGAATTGATCATGGAAGCGCATGACCAGTCGTGTGAGGACCATGTTGGTGATGATGATAATGATAAGGAGGGCAAGGCAAGGCCAGACAAGTGCAGCAAATTTGGGATATAAGCGGGGGGGGGGTCCAGGTGGAGGGGAAGACAAGAAGCACAGGGAGAGGAGGAAAACCCTGGCAAGAAGGCCAAAGGTTGAAGAGGAAGACGATGAGAAAGGGCGCAGAGAGTCAGCGAGGCGATGACAAAGCACCACAAATAGGCTGTTGCATACACATGAGCGTTTTCTCCTCTCTTTTCACAGGGAATCAAAACCACCGATCGATTTATAATCCACTCATCCAGGTAATCATAAAGTACAGGTCAGAAATTTTCTCTCTCTCTCTCTCTCTCTAACCAACAAGGCATTGGCACAGTTGCACTGCTCGCTCGCTATATTCGGGGTGAGAATCTACGAAGAAGAGACAGACAGTGCTCTTCCTTCTCCTCTCTCTTGCTCTCTCTCTCTTTCTCTCTCTCTTTCTCTCTCTCTCGGACCCTGTTCACCTGGGCGAAGGATAAAAAAAACTAGACTTGGATTAAATGACACGACGGCAGGATAATGACGAAATCAGTTCCCTCACTCGTCGCCGCCCACGTGTCACTCGCTTTACGTGCCACCGCCAAAGAAGGGTAGAAATCGACCTCTGATAAGAAAAAAAGCAAAGTGGACAAATGAGGGGGGCTCGGATTCAGAGTGAAGGACGACAAACATGAACACAGAAAGGGTGCGGCTTCAGAGTCGTGGGAGGGGGG